TTGTTTAGATGCGACTTTTATGGGGTTTGGGATGTAGGCACATCTAGTTTAGAACCTTTAAACAACTCTAAATCCTAAACAACAAACAACCCTTTTTTGCAACTGGCTTGCAACGTCGCGCCAGGACACAACAAACAACCCTAAACCCTAAACCCTAAACAACCCTAAACCCTAGGCACGCGATCGTAATTAGGATGACGTTACAGCTAACCCAGTGGGTCCATCTATGCTACCATTACGAAATCATAAGTCCCGAAAGACCATCCCTATTATGGCTTGGGGACCTATTCCATAGTGGTAGTATATAATACATGGAACCTTTGGGTAAGGTGATCTTTCTTATTGACGAGGTACGAGGCTTTTAGTCCCGAATGCAAACTTACCAAGACGTCAGTTGGTATTCCCGTTGTTGGCTAATGTAAGGGCCTTAATAATTAGAGTAGTTGTTCTTTTTGTGGGGGGGTCCTTATTATATGTATAGTATAATTTACCCCAAACCCTATTCTGACTACAAAGGCCCCTATAGTACCTTGTGCTCTCTTGAAAGGGTTTTAGCCACAAGGCGGCTCCCCGACAAAAGAACTGATTGCAGGATTGGGGGGTATAGGTACTTCGGTGCTGCATGGACTTCGAGGCAAGGAAACCTGAATCCCTCCATCAAACATCTGCGTTAAAGACACTCACCACGAACTTGGTTAAAGGAAACTACAGGAGGGGAGTTTAGGGTATATAGGGCTTCGATAAGGCTTCTATAAGCTATATAGAGCTTCTATAAGGCTCCTATCGGTAACTAGACTTGGCTCACAACACAACAATGACTAAGGCCTTGGAGACAGGTCCTTCGACACTAAAGCGCTTCGATGTCGGCTGTACGAAACCTCAATCTCGTTTAGGGTTTAGGGTTTAGGGTTTCTAACCAAGGCAGCTGCCCAGTGACATAGCCAGCACGGCACCCTTATTAAAAAGGACCCCAAAGACCCCCTAATTTAGAAAACTACCCAGAAAGCTACATGGACCCTTAGGGCAATCTCCAGCCGCGCTGCGATGGAGTTCACGGCGAAGTGCCTCAAATTTGTCCGAGTCGATGGTTCCGGGTTCCGGCTGGGTAACATGGGCAAGGTTTAGGGCTCAGGGGATAAGGGTTTAGGGTTCTAGGCTTAGGGTTTATATAGGGGGCTTAATGAGTGCGTAATTTCAAAAGGTTTTCTTAACTGCAAAGTTCATAAAGCCAAACAAAGTTGTAAACTTTCAGTTCTATAGGGGATCATATGATCGTAAAACTTGATAAGGCAACGCCTGGCCATACCGGGAGATTTCCACACCTTGGATAAACAACACACGTCAATATTGAAAGAAACTACAGGTGGGGAGTCTAAGGTATATGTGGCTTCTATAAGGCTTCTATAAGGTATATAGACCTTCTAAAAGGCTCCTAAGACGGTAACTACCCACCTGAACATGTCCTAGACTGAACCCACTCAACAGGACCCTATCCCTAAAACCCCTAAGCCCCTAAACCCCTAAACCCCTAAACCCCTAAACCCTAAACCCTTAAACCCTTAAACCCTAAACCCTAAACCCTAAAGCCTAAACCCTTACACCCTAAACCCTAAACCCTAAACCCCTAAACCCCTAAACCCCTAAACCCCTAAACCCCTAAACCCTAAACCCTTAATCCTATCCCTAAATAGAGGAGTCCTGGGTGCCTGAGCCTCAAACCACACTACCAATAGGCCCCATAGTAATTCCTTTTTGGGATTACCGAATAGGACTCGAAATATGAACCCAAATAAAGGATCTACTATGGGGCCTATGGGTGGCTTTTTGCGATTGTTTTGTTGGGGGGAGGTTTACGGTTTAGGGCTTGGTGATGCGCAAGCAACAGCCCAACAAACCCAAAGCTAAGCTGCACAACAGACCAGTAGTTCAGGATAGAAGGCGAGCCACGAACAAGCCTAAGCCCTAAAACGCAAACCCTGAACCCCAAACCCTAAACCGCAACCCTGAAGGCTAATTTAACAACTTTGACCGGGAGCCAGGCCAGAGATTCGTGGCTTACGATTTCCTTTCTGTGGGCTTAATTAAGTTTACACCTTAAGCCCTAAACCCCTAACCTAAACCGCTAAACCCTAAACCCTAAACCCCTAAACCCCTAACCCTAGACCGAAAACCCCTAAACCCCTAAACCCTAAACCTTATAAACCCTAAGCCCCTAAACCCCTAAACCGTTTAGGGTTTTTTGTGGTCTCTGGGATTTAGGATGCAGCGCGTTTAAGGGCTCAGGGCCGAGCTCGACGCATGAGGATTTCTAGAACTGCAAGGCTAGTAACTAGAAGGTTTAGGGCTTTAGGGTTTAGGGTTTCGGGTTTAGGGTTTCGGGTCTAGGGCTTCGGGGTTTATTGTTTAGGGTTTTGGGGCCTAGCCTTAGGGCGTTTCGGGTTTGGGGCTGCACCTGCGAGACGAGCTCATCTTTCTGCCCTACTGTAAGCTGCGTCGAGAAAGGATGCCCGGTCGCTGCAACATCGGGCGAATCGGGCGGCCCAGAAAAACTGGATTTCTGTCCTTTCTCGCAAGGACATCGTACCCTGCTCAGAGAAGTTTTCTAGTCGTGCAGGGCAAGACGGAGCAATATAGGTGCCTTAATAATTAGAATAGGGTTTTGGGGCCCATTGTACTATAACTATACTAACGACCCCCCGCCCCAAGGAATAATGTAGGTAATTATTTAGGCCCCTGTATTAGAGCCGTCGACTTGGGCATCTTCCTGCGTTTTTGGTGTGGTGTGGCCTTGGCGCAAACGCGCGATTCAACATCCCAAAGCCACCTTCACCCTAAACCCCTATTTTCAAGCCCCAGAATCCCAAAAGCCTCAAAACGAATCTATAAAACCGAAGCCCCGCCCTAGACCCTGAACCCTTATAATGTACACCCCCTGATCAATAACCCCCCTCCCTTAACAAGGACTAAACTAGGGATCCTAATATTAGGGTCCTTTCACAAAGGGTGTTTATTCATCAGTGGTTTACATTAAGCCCGATGCGGAACCTAAAGCAAAAAAGCGTGTCTAGAACTGCCTCAAGACGGTTTAGATTTTAGGGACTAGGGACACTAAACCCCTCAACCAGCTTTACAAAAGAACACAATATTCTGCTAGGGTTCCTTGTCATACGAATACTACTCAAGGAGGCCCAAGCACAATATTTCTGCTAGGGTTCCTTGTCATACGAATACTATCAAGGAGGCCAAAACCCCAGTCTAATTATTAAGCATTAAGGCCCCCACTATAGAACCCTATCATAGATCCCTATAGAACCCTCTAAGAATCCCTTTAACGGAACCCTGTTCGAATTATGAAGGCGCCAACATTCAGCCCTAAATCCCTAAACCCTAAACCCTAAATCCCTACATTAAGCCTAAACCCTAAACCCTAAACCCTAAACCCTAAACCCTAAGCCCTAAATCCCTACATTAAGCCCTAAATCCCTAAAGCTTGCCAAGGGTCAACTGCGTACCCGAAGCCAGATGCGAGGTTTTGGGCGAGCCCAGGTAGTGGCTGTCAGTCCTTGGCGGTTAATCTATATAAAATTAATGAATGAATGAATGAATGAATTAATTAATTAATTATAATATATATATATATATAATGTGTATATATATATATATATATATTCATATGTATACAGAAAAGATAATAAAGCCCTAAACCCTGAACCCTAGACGGGTCCAGAGGTTTCGGGTTAGGGTTTGGGTTGTTCCGGTTTTCGGGTTTCGAGGTTCAGGGTCTAGGATTTGTTATGACTTTGGTCTGAGGGCAATGTTTTCTGAGACAATCGGCCATAGGATTCAGAGGGAACGTTTAGTACAACTATCCCATGAAAGTCGCCATAGAACTGTACGGTTTAGGGTTTAGGGCTTAGGGGTATACTATACCATACTCCGAACACTCTACTCTTGTTGTCAAGACCCCTGTTTCAGGGGTGTAGAGTACGGCGGTTTCAGTATCGAAGGAGTTTGGCACCCTGCAGGAAAGCTGTCCGGAAGCTTCCATTGGCGATTTAAAGCTTCAGACCTCAGAACCCCTAAACCTTAAACTCAATATAGTTTGACCGAAGAATCATGTTTCTTCTATCTCGTTGTTGGAGCTTTTGCAGCAAAACAGACTGGATCCGGATCCTCAATATCAGCCACGACGACGACTATCAGTGCTACTACTGCCTGCAACTGCTACAACAACAACTACAACTACAACTACAACTACAACTACAACTACAACTACAACTACAACTACAACTACTACTACTACTACGACGACGACTACTACTACTACCACCACCACCAGCACCATCACCAGCACCACCACCAGTGCGACGATGACGACTGATGCTACCGTTGCTACATGCTCTCCTGCTCGTCCTGCTGTC